ATAATGTCATGTAAGAAACTAGCGAATACTATACTGTCAGACCCTCAGCATCCTCTCTATACGCAGCTCTCTCCTTGCATTTCATTTGGTAGAACTAGAAGCAGCTATAGGAGGCTATATGCTAGGACTACCAAGTACAAAAACTCCACAATACCTTATCTGGCACAGCTGTTATGTGATGAGAAATCCGTTAGGTATGACACGATCAACTTACTGCGGCACTGTAACAATTAGTTCCATTAGTTTTTGTTTTCCTTTCTTCGTTACTATTATATTGTTGTTCACATCTTCTATTACACACTAATTTTATATTTCATATCCTGTGGTGCCTAGTTTAAAAATGTAAAAGCAACGCTGTTCTATTTTTGGTTGTTGTTTTGTGACTTTAAAATCTTATAAAATTCATGATGTAATTAGATGCAATATTGTAATGCACGCTGAAAATTCCATACCTATACCACAAATACTGTTTAGAATAAAGCTGCTATTATTATTATTTATATCATTATTATTATTAGAATGCTTATTCTGACGTGCTTAGTATCCCACCGATACAGAAGCACTGAATTCATTGACCTCAATGTTGAAAATTCGAATCTTGTACATTATGATGAGTACACTGGATTTCCAAAACGATTTCAGATTAATGAAGACCTGTCTAAATTCTCCGACCCTAGGAAAACTTTGACATCCTCATCCATGCTGCCTGTCTGTAGCTCAAACGATGCTGTTCACAGAAATGAAAGATTCGATTTTCTTCAAATTTCCAACGTTGATACTGATCATGGCTTGTTGTTACTGCTGTTGTTGGTTGTTCGGTTGTTTGTTTGGTTTGTCATCATCGTCTTATATCCGTCTTCTATTTGTTCACTCGAATTCCTGTCTTCGTCATCTGCCTCTACTGCCAACGCGTTGCTTATCTCTTGTAGATCTCCCACTTTGTACAACACTAGACAAAATTCATCCACAAAGTCAGTCAGTCTTCAGTGAAAGTATATGAATGAAAGTCATGGTTATCTAGATTGTGGTAAGTTGATCTGTATTTTAAAATGCGTGTTTCACGTGCAATAATAAGCATGTCTGGAAAACAGCGCATGATGTGTCAGCATATTCGGAATAAAGTAGAATGGAACGACGTCAAGGCTGGTTGTAATCGTGAGACAATAGTGTAGCAGTTTAACATTTTACCTACATACATCCATGATGAAGCAATGCTGATCTCGATAAAACGTATAAACACGTGTTGTATTAGAAGATGTACACAATCAGGATTATAGATTGGCTAGTGATACATATCTACTAAACTCATTAATCAAGACTTGCCATGCATCAGCTAACATCATTCCGTCGTGTCTATGCAATATTTGGGGATTCACGGATATCTGTAGGCTTCTGTAGTCAGTCTTCCTTTATGCAAAACAGAACCAGTATGTGCAATCTTCCGCCAATCAGAAGTTCCACAATCCACTATATGCACCATATTTGCAATTTTACTACGCACAGTATATCCTCGACTGTCCTAATGTACTGTTCACCGCATATTAGTTGTCCAGTCTTGCATCCAACTACATACTACATTGAATTATAACCACATGGACTTATGAGTGTCACGCTGAATTGTTATTTTGTTTATCTTTCTTGAATGTATTCATAATATGATTTGTTATCCAAATCCTCAATTTGTAATTGACACAGTTCGAGAAGGTGAAATTTCGCCACAGATTCCTTCGGAAAGGGGAATTATTCAAACAATAACATGTGATCTGCTTTGATGGCATAAATGGCAATCAAGAAACCAAGAAATATTTTGCACAGTTCTCTATGATATTGATTGACTGAGATGAGCAGTTATATGTCACACTCATTGATCAGCAGTACTTACTAGCCAAATTGAGGTGATCTAAGCACTGGAGTTCCATTTCACTTGTTTGATGCCGAACTCATCAGTAGTGTATCTCGTTTGACTGAGCTCAGAGGACCGAATCAGTTCAAACCATCTGACTTCTGACCCCAAATGAGCGAATCTGCCGTCTGGTGTTTAGACCACTTAGGTTTTTTATTAAAAAGCACTACTGGTTGATGTGAGTGGCATATAACAACAATATCTTTGACAATCACTAGTATATAGGGCTGTGAACCAAACAGTTAAGCGCGTCTATACGCAAATAAAATGGACAGAACAAATACAAGCATGTATCTTGGTAGAGGGCAATTCAGTTCACACAGATCAATATACATATAAAATACAGTTACTTGGTGAGTTATAATTGTCCTAAAATATACAAGTAACGACGTACAGAATTGTAGTGATGAAGTAGTCCTTTCTTAGTATGCAGTTGGTCACTCCACTTAAGAGCATATCAGCAGCCCGAGGGTACTTTTGGAGAGAAAAAGAAAATTGAAGCAAAGGATCCGAATGTGAATGTACGGTTCAGGTACGATCCAGAGGTGGTTAGCAATAGTGGGAAGCAAGAAGCTGGAGAAGGCAGTTGTGACATGCGTACTACGCACTGAACCAGGTCGTATCCTTATTCAGTCTCAATTAACATCGTGATGTATTTTGAATTCATTACTTTTACCATTTCAAATGAACGTATAATTTGATATTGATCGGTCGCCACATATAGGTTACCGCGTTTAATCACTTTTCGTATTTCATGAAATAGTGTACACATCCAGCAGTTTCCACTTCTGTCTTATATCACAGAAACGATTTGCTGCACCCTGTAACTATCTTCCACAGATGCAGTGTGATTCGACATCGTAATAACAGCTTGGACGAATTTCATAGGTCATGCATACTATTGCATATGGTGGCCTGCATAAATCTCCAGGTTACCTAAATTTCCGTATTTCTACATAAAGATTAGAATTTTCTCCGTGTATTATTGTCTTCATCGTTCGTTTTTCGCTCTTTTGCTGAAAAATGTACCTACACACATTTTTAATCACCTTCCAACCCGATGCTATGCAGTTCTCAAACAAAAGAAACTGAAGAGAAATATAACAAGGGATGGGTGTTTGCTTCGCATCGAAAAGCATTGCATTATGCGATATTCTGTGAATTTCTCATTTACATGGGGGAGGACTAAATATTATACAGTGGAATAGTCTAAGAATACCGTGGAGTGGGTAAACATTTTGTTCAGAATGAACTGTAATTGAAATGGGTTTCAACAGGCACACACACGCGCACGCGAGCATTGCTAGGCTGTTTCTAATCAGACGCATTGATTTAAGTGAGGTTGAAACACCCCGATGTTTGAGGTCAGTTTGAATTAGGAACAAGTCGTCTTCTTTAACACTCATTGGAAAATATAAAATATTTTTATTATAGTGTCTAATGGAAAGTCTGGTGACAGCCAGTTCAAGGATTATCGATCAAAGCGTACGCCAATTATATATATATATATAAACAATTCAGACGAATCGCTTCATTTCAATCTAAAAGAAGGTGCGATATGGTCCTGTTATTGTTTTGTGGAAAACTGTATCCTGTCAATTGCAGTGCCACTCATACAATATTTTCGTATTTTATAAACAACTAAAGTTTCAACCCAAATCCAAGAGATGCATGTTTAACAGAACATGAAATATCGCAAAATAAATATACGCCAATACTACGAGGACCAGTTTAGACATCCATGACACACACATACACACACTCAATTACACGAAAGCAACTATAACACAACCAATTCCATTTCAAACTACTAAAAGAGGCAACACATTGTTCGTCAACGCTATCCTGTCCACATATACAAAGCTGTTTGATTCTGAACCACAAAAATACCCAGACAGAAAATAGGTTAAAACGGTAATGTCAATTAGAACAGCATCCTTAGCGAATGCAAACATAAAATTGACACTACAATCAATGTTTCATTTCTCGAAAGAATCACATCAAAAATGCACACACTCATAAGACAACGAAACACAATAGACAGGAATTCCGTAAGAAAACGTTTCTTCCTCAGTGGCACAGTACACAAAACACACAACAGCTAGTATGGCATGAGAGAACAAGAAGTGATAACAAATTAGGCTGACCAGTCATATAACACATAATATTCCACAAAAACATATTAGTGATCATATCGTCAATATTTCATTTCTGAAATCGATTGAACTCAGATTTATATCAGACTCCGAAGTTCAAGATACAAGAGACAGAAATACACTCCGAGGATGAAAGAGCGAGAATGTGTCTAAGTCACCAGATGTTCGAGAATACACACGAATGCCACATACACGTGTAGACGCATGAGTGTTATTGTAGTGAGTAGACGAATACATGAATGGGATAACACAATATTAGTCATCATCAACGATAGTCTCATTCGACATATGACAGCGATGTTGGATAGAGTTCGCCTGATGAGAAGCAGTGATTCATTCAGTGAGCAGAGATGCAGTGGCGAAACAGTCTGAGTTGAATATTTCAATCAATACACACCATGCCAAACAGTCGTGCGACACAGTCAATTAGGGTCAAAGCTATCGATATATAAATGTCTTTGCACTGAAACTAATTGTGAAACAAAATTCACTCTCCCAATGACAGTGGACCATTCTGAATGTGATATCCGGCAATAGAATCTATGAAGTTCACCATCTCAAGTGATGTATGGCAGTAATCATGGATAGAGCTGACTCTATGAGAAACAATAAAAGCAGGACATATACAGACTCGCCACCTCATTTATGGAGACACACGCTTCAAGCAGAAGACAATCAAATTGTCTGACAGATAGTCACAAAACAACCACTGATTCACGAAAATCGAGAATATTAGTTAACCGAAACCTTCGTTTCATTCTGACAAAGATGTAGAACAAACGAACTCGTATCACTGGCACTCTGAATTCAGAAATACGAAAACCATACTCACTAACTATCATCACACATCTACAATTGAATAACTGTTAACCAGAAAACGAAATGAATGCGTGCATGCACCGATTCTGACACCAACATCAAAAGTATACATAAACAATCAATTTCGATGAATATTTTATTCGATATAAGAGGTGGAAAGTAATAATAATAGTAATAGTGATGAGTGGGAAATATATCCTTGTCCAAAATAAGCGACAAAAAGCTGTTTCATCAGATTAGTGCATGTAAAGCAAAGTGAGAGAAGAACAATGAGGAAACAGTGAACAACAAAACAATGAATATGCTGAATATGAATTAACCAAGTGTCAAAGTGATTTCCGCCAATTTCGATAAGATGTGGAGTGTGTACTCAAGACGTTGACTTAATTCCACTTGAGAGTAGTCCACATCAATCGATCAATCTATGGCTTTGATGCATAAATCCGAGATTTGGAGGTAGTCAATGTTGATGATGTCGGATATTTACCAGATACAGTTGACACTGCTTTGACGACAAGAGACTGAGATGGATCCCTGATCAAACGTGATGACGATCTGACAACAATTCGTCTAGTGATGGATGTTTTCGATTTCATAGTAGTGGCTGATAATTTGGTGTCTGGTGGTTTCGTGGCAGTCGTTTGTTTGTTGGTGCTTTGTCGTTGTGTGAAAGTGTTTCGTATTAGTTGATTGAAGAGCGGTTTCGATGTAATTACCCCTGGTGCTGTTTCATATGGATAACGGCCAACGTAGTTGCCCCTGAAACAAATAAATCAAAGATGACAGTGAGTGACTGGGTTAATGCATCAACTTACGCTGACATTTCGCCCTTCCGATATATACTCGAATTCGAACAATCTCCTCCTCCATTGTCTAGTGCAACATATTATTATCACATATATCCTCAGCTGTCTCTCACAACACATCGAAAGTCTTCACACAAATAATGACGATCACACAAGAATTTCACAGACTACGGGTCCTCATATCGTGATAAGTGAATGTGAGTCTGTGAGAAATGACATCCTGAGACGATCGCGTCACAAGTAAATCGGTCTGGCAGTGTCAGCCGGACAGCAGGTATATACGTTGAGCTGGAAAACTAACTTATTCAACGATTGCTTAGACGACTGGTTAACCGACTCATTACTCACAATACTCAACACTGAGTTAGTGAGAAACCGAGACAGGTTAGCGCGACTGGTGGTGATCAAGTGATTGTGAATTCTGTGATGACCTACCCTGGTCCATAGTTGCACACAATGCTGAGTGCATACGGGAAATCGGGACACGCTGTAACACCACATCCAACGTCAGTAGTTCTCTGCCATACGACCTACAATAAGAAAACAGAGAAGTCGGTTATTACCAGAAGGCTGAATGAGCATGTGCATGATGCGATAAAAAAAATGACCAGCGCTCAGGCGAGTGAATGCACCAAATTCATTGAGCATTTGACAACCAGTACGGATGAATCATTGGGAAGGCTATCCTGATTAGTGGTCACCAATCCACCTAGTGTTCGAAGACGTCAGAATCCCTTGAAATCACATGAATCTCCTCACTAGTGTTGCTCGGGAATTGAGGAAGATTGAGCATGTGGTTATATCTCGAGTGCACTCGTTCAAAGACTGCGTAAATCAACAGCAAGAAGCCTACTAGCACACTGGTTTTTCACAAATCCCTAAGTCATATTCTACTTCTCAATCTTCTGTTCCATCTCAGCTCTCCCACTTCCTCATTTGTGTTTCCTGGAATGAATGAGTGAAATTCTACAACCTGACAAACTTCGGTCAAATTCACATGCAAAACGACGGGTGTCAGATGATTGTGCGAAAAATTGTAGTCATGTGGATTCTGATGATAGGATAGTGTGAGGTAAATAATTCGGTGATGTTAGATGACATGAAATGACATTCAGGTGATAATAGAATTGCATGTCACATTTGAGGAGTTACTGAATGCGTATTCACTTGAACATGATTTCAGCACCAGTGACAGCACTTTCCATTTCCCCATTCTATAAACCCAGGCTTTAATTTCGACTGTGATGAATCAAACAGTCTGTCGTCGTGCAGTCCACATCGAGAATACCTCACCATGTATTCACCGACATCATAGTCTAATACTTGTCTGTATGTATTTCACTTCAAAATCACTCACAAACCAATGACAAATATGAAATTATTTCACGCGTCTATTATTTTCACCATTATACTACTACTACTGCTGTCTATTGCATACACTAACACAGTTACCGATGCACAGCATTCAGTGTCGAGTTTACAGGCGGTCTGACAAGTCGGTAGTTGTTAATCACTCTTACCAGTGTCATACATTGCATGTGTCTTACCTGAGTATAATGACCACATCGACGAATTCGACACTTCCCCGTGATGAAATCATAACCCTTATATTCATTCAGCCACAGATTGAATCCACTTGATTACACATGCGTGAAGAACGAAAGCAAGAGGAAAAGTGAAAACAAAATCAATTTCATCAGTAAGTTACGAATACATGATAAATGAAATTGGAGCGATTCGGGATGTACATTGGTGTACACTCCAACAAACACTGACACAAATGAAGTGTACACGTTAAGGTCATTGCGAATCACATGCGAAGGGGTACAACAGATTCACAATCAGAAATCACTTCAATCCATGGCACATACAAGGACACAGAAAATACACCCCTCAAGAAGATGATGACTATTTGTGAATAGAACACTTCAGTAGACAGTTGAATAAAACACCGATCTGTGGTTGACGGTGGACTGCTAAGGTGAGACACGAAGAATATTCATGTCGTTTGGAGGAGGATGCATTAAAACACCATTATTTCCAAGCATTCGTACAGTAGCCAAGGTCCCAGACTTAGATCACCAACATTTCCTAATTAGGAATGTGCAGTAGAAATCGGAACGAAAGTCAGTTAAGCGCCACGCAGTCATTCGGTAGTGATGAAAACACTATTAGTAAAATCAAATACACTCCCCCGACTCCACAAATTCAATTCCACATTTCACCTCCACTGATCCCATGCATATCTTAAAACATTCTTACCACAATTTCCTTGGACATGAAATTCGCGTAAGACAAATCAAACAGAGCAGTGTGTGTTTCACTGTGAAACGGAAGACGAGATTTACATGCACATTAAATCAACACAGAATATATTGCAGCAACCTACACTTCGATGTTTCCTGCACCTGCCCAATTTTGTCCAACATATGAAAACGATGAGACGTTTCTCTCAGCAGCTGTGTCATGACCAACACGACACTGATCAGACAATTTCTGCGCCTTCTCCTCCAACTCCAAATTGTATTTCTGAAAAAGTAACAGTTGGAGTGTGTCAATATGGATTGATCAGTGCACTGGAGTGCTGATCATTACATGTCTCGGAAAACCATGATACCAACACTTACCCCCTCTAAACTACATCAGTAGTGAAAATGGCGACTAAATGAGGCTATCAGCTAGCGATGACGGGGATAAGTCTGGACTACTGGACACCATATTGGAGGAATAGGGATAATAATAATAATAACAGTGGGTTTGTTTCAAACAGTATTGTCGATACAGTTTGGAAATTTAAGCATGTTATGGAGTATAGAATATGATGGCATGGCACGGTGAGGGGAAACAAAGAATAACAATTTTTACCGAGGTTAAACGATATTTACACTAACGAGAAAAGAAACAAAATGGAGAAATGAGAGGATTATAAATACAAGAATAATAACACTAAAGCTGACAGTTATAAGGATGGACAAAATGGTTTATTTGCTAGTGCAAAGAAGGTTACTTAGTTCGTCCGTGACACTATTTTCAGCAAACAAATTACGTGCCAAATATGGTACGTGAATAAAGTATTTTAAACGACCTCTTATTTTATTTGAGGAGACTCGAGGTTGGAGCTGCGGGTAATATGGATGCTCACAGTCTGACAAAATTCCTTTGGCAAATTTGTTGCATGAAATCAAGTGCCTAGCAATGACGACGTCAACGATATGGTCGAATGGGATACCACTCAGCCTACTGACAGTCTTCGCCGTCCTATGAAGCATGACTTCGTATTGTTTAAGCAATCCAGGGAAGAATAAGGGTGAACAGTAAAGAAGAATAGGTAAGATGCACGAGTTGACAAGCTGTAAGAGGAGGGGTTGAGTTATGTCTCAGTGCCTTAACTTCTTGATGTAAAATGTCAGAGGAAATATTTTTCAGAAATCGCTAAGACATGGGAAGACCAGGATAGATCAGAAGATAGAATAAGTCCAAGGAACTTAACGTCTGACTCGATTTCTATGTCACTGTCACAAATCTTACAACGGTCATAGGAATTAACAGCTTCATTTAAATTTATTTACATCGGAAACTGAAATGAACAGTCTGACATTTGGAAGGATTTAGTTTAAGACAATTAGACGAAGATCATTTGCTGACTCCTGATAGAAAGCTGTTCATCCTAGTACAGTCTAGCTGGGAATTAACAGACACTGAAACAGTTAGATCGTTCGCATACTAAACAAAGTTAATTTCATCAGAGTGAGCCAAGACATGCAAGAAGAAAGAGAACAGCAGAGGAGACAGAACAGTGCCTCGAGGGACGCCAGCCTCAGTAAGCAGTGAAGTGGACGACTTCACCTGAAATACAGAGAACTGCTTTCTTCCTGAGAAACAAGAATGCAGAATATTGACAACAAAACACCCAGCTTCAGTTTCACCAAGCTAAATTAACACAATATCCTCAGTTACTCAGTTGAAAGCAGATGTGTAATATTCTACCAGAGAGAAAACTTACGAGTCGTACCAGCCTATCCAAAGCTTCTAGATTGCTATTCATATGCAGGACATTCCCAAAAGCGTATATTAAATACAATCACTCAAAAGACGAAAAGCATATACGTGTGTCGTCTCACTCACACACAATTTGATAGAAGTATTCAAAAGATTCGACCGGATGAACCCTCCACACACGATCATGCCATATCAGTGACCACAGTTCGTCCTCAACAGGCATATCGCTCACAAGATACGCAACAATGACACAATCATTCTCATATTCTCGAAAGTCCCTCTCCACCAGACAACACAGACACACACAAACAGGTAAACAACCCACACAAAAGTTCCACATGGAACACTCATCTAGGGAACATTGAATACTTCGTCTTACCAATGGTTTCATAAAAATAGCTGCCGGCTGTCCACTCAGCAATCCGTTTCGAACTGATTCTCTGGCATTATTGTGCAGAGTCAAAAACTTGTCCCTCATCTCCTGGTTCATTTCCGCATCGATGCAGGACAGCAGCAGAGAACACGTGGTGAACAAGAGCAGTGATGATTGGTGAACTGGATGCATCTAAGCGCAACTCGACTTCACGTTGGACAGTGAATGGATAGATTTGACGTGGAAGTGAGCACTTCTCAATGCATTTATATACCTGTACATGAAAATCGATCCGAGGAAGTCACTTCTCACTGGCTACGGAGATTCCTCACAACGTCAATCAATTCAATTATTTTTCATATCTTACAGGTTAAATTAGGAACAGTCAATGTTGAATGATTGATCGGTCCAATGGAAGACGTCTTCATATGCATTTATTAGAAGAAATGAATTTCGACGCCTCCTCGTGACACATACCAGTTATGCAAGGCAGGAATGATTGACTAATTGAAAGGAAGTTCTCATGCTGTTGTACTTTTATTCATTACGGCCTTTACTTCCGGAGAATTTTTAAATGGTATGAGGTACTGCGCTTCCTTCGTCTATCTTTTCTTTCCTCTTCTGCATAACGTGTCCACTTCTGACGAAACTAGTTTTCTTGTGTACACTGATGCTCTAACAGTTTACTTACGTCTCACGTTACCTGAAAAGCGTATTTTGTTAGAGATTAGCTAGTGGTTCTCGTAAAATAGTCCTTCACTAAAATCCTGACTTACCTACAAATCATCCGTTTATTGTGGTTTCGATGAGATTTCCGAGCAAATGTTTCTTTCTTCAGTGTACGTATTTCATTTGAGGACATTTTCGTTTGAACAGCCAATATATGAAGATCGATAGTCTTTGGTCTGACACTACTTCAGGCGGATTACATTAGCGTTGCAGATTCAAAGATAACAGCTAGATCCATGTTCTGAATGCATGAACAAAGATAAGGTTGTTCAATATGCACTTCTACATCGAGGCTTACAGAATTTGGTACATGTCAAATGGATATATTTGGGAGACAGTAATCACTTGACGCTAGCTTGACACACTGGTGAGATTAATTCCTATGTTGAACGTTCACATATTTTTCATTCCGCAGCAGCTCTTGATACCCATACTGGAAACTTGAACTTTGCATTCAGAAGCGGTTTATCCAGTCACTTTTACTACGACGGTATTAATGACAATTTTGTTTTCTTCACTTATTCCACAATAGTTTCAACATGATTTCTTTCTTGTCAACCATTTCCACCTCTTTCTGCTGTTGTCTCCTATCAACTATCTACAAATAACTATTCATCGCTTAACTAATTAGTTGTCAATTTTCCTGATTACGCGAGATGCTTCACTAGTTCTCGTACACCTGAAAATTTTATGTTACTAACTGGCAGTAACCCCTGTCCTCTGTTGGCACTTGACACTCTACATATAAACCCCTTATTGACTATATAGTTTTTTGAGAGAGACATTACAAAAGGAGGTTCTCTGTGCTCACTTACGTGTTCTTAGCTTACATCAAACAGGAACAATAATAAGTGTTTAAGTAAGCAACAAAAATAATGAGAACACTGGCAGTAGTTGGTTGGTAGCCTCATACCTAACACTTATTCCATCACATGGAATTCATGTCAAATACGATTTTGTGAAGTTTTTATATTGAACTTTACAAACATAAAGCCTTTTGAGGTTTTAGCTCGCTCTAACTGGAAGGAAGTAAGGTGAAAAGTGTGAATAAAGAGGATGCCAAAAGCCTGATAAAATGACGTTAGCCATTTCCTCGCTTTATTTCAGATGTTTGTCAACGGCTAAATCAACAAATTAGCTCTTGGAATTCTTCACAATATGACATAATCTGTCTAATGAAACCGCCATTCCCCCATCACATATTAAGGGGGATAAATAGAGAAGTATATGAAAGGTGCAGGAGTTAAACTGACAAAATCTGAGTTTTACTAAAGCGCCTTATTTATCTTATGAAGAGTTTTGTACAAAATACTTTTGTAGAAAATAGCAGAAAATCACACACCACCAGGACATACTGAACGATATTTTTCAATGCCTACATTCTCTGGCTTGTTAATAACGAGCAGATTACTGACTGGCTTGAATAGATAAGCAGCAAGTAACTCGGGTAACGAATCAAAATTATACACAGCAAATATTGAAAACGAAATCGAGATGGATTGAAGATACGCTGAAAACACTGTTGAGTGACCTCGCGCTTCAGGATCTAGATTGGATCCAGATTAGAAAATGACGAGTTGCGCAACCTTGGATGGCATAGAGCAGGTCGTCTGAGTAGTAGTAGTAGATGAAGGAGGAGGAGACGACGGCTTGTGTACAATCGTGTATCCAGAAGATGAAATGGAGGTTTGCTGTCGAATACATATGTTCCACTCTGAACTCGAGAGAGAAATAATATCGTAAAAATAATGCTCTTTTAAAGCAGATGGTGTTGAAGCAGCAAAATGTCGAATGTCATCCAAGGTTGCGCAACTCGTCATTTTCTAATCTGGATCCAATCTAGATCCTGAAGCGCGAGGTCACTCAACAGTGTTTTCAGCGTATCTTCAATCCATCTCGATTTCGTTTTCAATATTTGCTGTGTATAATTTTGATTCGTTACCCGAGTTACTTGCTGCTTATCTATTCAAGCCAGTCAGTAATCTGCTCGTTATTAACAAGCCAGAGAATGTAGGCATTGAAAAATATCGTTCAGTATGTCCTGGTGGTGTGTGATTTTCTGCTATTTTCTACAAAAGTATTTTGTACAAAACTCTTCATAAGATAAATAAGGCGCTTTAGTAAAACTCAGATTTTGTCAGTTTAACTCCTGCACCTTTCATATACTTCTCTATTTATCCCCCTTAATATGTGATGGGGGAATGGCGGTTTCATTAGACAGATTATGTCATATTGTGAAGAATTCCAAGAGCTAATTTGTTGATTTAGCCGTTGACAAACATCTGAAATAAAGCGAGGAAATGGCTAACGTCATTTTATCAGACTTTTGGCATCCTCTTTATTCACACTTTTCACCTTACTTCCTTCCAGTTAGAGCAAACTAAAATCTCAAAAGGCTTTATGTTTGTAAAGTTCAATATAAAAACTTCACAAAATCGTATTTGACATGAATTCCATGTGATGGAATAAGAACCTCCTTTTGTAATGTCTCTCTCGAAAAACTATGTAGTCAATAAGGGGTTTATATGTAGAGTGTCAAGTGCCAACAGAGGACAGGGGTTACTGCCAGTTAGTAACATAAAATTTTCAGGTGTACGAGAACTAGTGAAGCATCTCGCGTAATCGGGAAAATTGACAACTAATTAGTTAAGCGATGAATAGTTATTTGTAGATAGTTGATAGGAGACAACAGCAGAAAGAGGTGGAAATGGTTGAAAAGAAAGAAATCATGTTGAAACTATTGTGGAATAAGTGAAGAAAACAAAATTGTCATTAATACCGTCGTAGTAAAAGTGACTGGATAAACCGCTTCTGAATGCAAAGTTCAAGTTTCCAGTATGGGTATCAAGAGCTGCTGCGGAATGAAAAATATGTGAACGTTCAACATAGGAATTAATCTCACCAGTGTGTCAAGCTAGCGTCAAGTGATTACTGTCTCCCAAATATATCCATTTGACATGTACCAAATTCTGTAAGCCTCGATGTAGAAGTGCATATTGAACAACCTTATCTTTGTTCATGCATTCAGAACATGGATCTAGCTGTTATCTTTGAATCTGCAACGCTAATGCAATCCGCCTGAAGTAGTGTCAGACCAAAGACTATCGATCTTCATATATTGGCTGTTCAAACGAAAATGTCCTCAAATGAAATACGTACACTGAAGAAAGAAACATTTGCTCGGAAATCTCATCGAAACCGCAATAAACGGATGATTTGTAGGTAAGTCAGGATTTTAGTGAAGGGCTATTTTACGAGAACCATTAGCTAATCTCTAACAAAATACGCTTTTCAGGCAACGTGAGACGTAAGTAAACTGTTAGAGCATCAGTGTACACAAGGAAACTAGTTTCGTCAGAAGTGGACGCGTTATTCAGGAGAGGAAAGAAAAGGTAGACGAGGGAAGCGCAGTACCTCATACCATTAAAAAATTCTCCGGAAGTAAAGGCCGTAATGAATAAAAGTACAACAGCATGAGAACTTCCTTTCAATTAGTCAATCATTCCTGCCTTGCATAACTGGTATGTGTCACGAGGAGGCGTCGAAATTCATTTCTTCTAATAAATGCATATGAAGACGTCTTCCATTGGACCGATCAATCATTCAACATTGACTGTTCCTAATTTAACCTGTAAGATATGAAAAATAATTGAATTGATTGACGTTGTGAGGAATCTCCGTAGCCAGTGAGAAGTGACTTCCTCGGATCGATTTTCATGTACAGGTATATAAATGCATTGAGAAGTGCTCACTTCCACGTCAAATCTATCCATTCACTGTCCAACGTGAAGTCGAGTTGCGCTTAGATGCATCCAGTTCACCAATCATCACTACTCTTGTTCACCGCGTGTTCTCTGCTGCTGTCCTGCATCGATGCGGAAATGAACCAGGAGATGAGGGACAAGTTTTTGACTCTCCACAATAATGCCAGAGAATCAGTTCGAAACGGATTGCTGAGTGGACAGCCGGCAGCTATTTTTATGAAACCATTGGTAAGACGAAGTATTCAATGTTCCCTAGATGAGTGTTCCATGTGAAACTTTTGTGTGGGTTGTTTACCTGTTTGTGTGTGTCTGTGTTGTCTGGTGGAGAGGGACTTTCGAGAATATGAGAATGATTGTGTCATTGTTGCGTATCTTGTGAGCGATATGCCTGTTGAGGACGAACTGTGGTCACTGATATGGCATGATCGTGTGTGGAGGGTTCATCCGGTCGAATCTTTTGAATACTTCTATCAAATTGTGTGTGAGTGAGACGACACACGTATATGCTTTTCGTCTTTTGAGTGATTGTATTTAATATACGCTTTTGGGAATGTCCTGCATATGAATAGCAATCTAGGAGCTTTGGATAGGGTGGTACGACTCGTAAGTTTTCTCTCTGGTAGAATATTACACATCTGCTTTCAACTGAGTAACTGAGGATATTGTGTTAATTTAGCTTGGTGAAACTGAAGCTGGGTGTTTTGTTGTCAATATTCTGCATTCTTGTTTCTCAGGAAGAAA